CCAGTGGATAGGGGTCCTATAGCCTAATGCCACACACAGGCTGAGTTCTCGAGGGCTTCATGGAGGTGCTGCTGGGTAGTTGAGCATCAGGATAAAAAGGATAAGTAGGGAGAGGGATAGAGGACCAAAGGTATAATAAATAGGGAGCAGAGACAGATCCAGAGGAGGCTGGCAAAAAGGGAAGAGCTTTCCTACCAGGAGTTGGAGGTGTTTTCTATCAGCAGATGGGTGAGAAGGCCAGCTCAAGAGTGGGATCAGCTTTCTTTCCCAGCCAGGGGTACAGGCAGCTGGGGACTGATTTCTAGTTCTTTCCTTTCCCCATATAACATTGCATCCACCCTCACCTAGGTGGCAGCATCAGCCTGTTCCTTTCATTTAGGCTTTATCTGACTGAACTCATAGCTCCTAGGGAAGCCACCAGAACCCCAGCAGGGCTCTGTTAAGGTGGTGGTGTTGGCTGCTGCCAGTGAGCCCCACAAGGAATGGCTGTCAAGTGGCAATTGGACATGTTTGAGAAAGAATTTGTGAATAAATGATGGATGCCACAAGCCACTTCTCACCTGATGGCCTCCTCCTCAGAATAGGGGGCATATAAGCCAGCTCTTCTGCCAATATGGCATCTGTGCTCTTCCATGGGTGCTGGAACCTCACTTGTGGGCACAGGGGCCTTCATTGGCACACTGCTGGCTGATCTTCTGAGGCCCAGTGCAAGGGTGACCAAGGAAGGGGCTCAAATTCACCTCAGCCAGCAACAGTTATCCTCCCTGTCTGACTGGCTCTGGGGCAGAGAGGATGGAGAGACCTGTGTGAGTCTCAGGGTCTGGCAGGCTTGTACAGGGCAGTGAACCTGACAAGCCCTAGGCTTCAATCTTGTCCTCATAGCAGCCTACCAAGGACATCCTTCACCTTAACTGTTTACAAGCCATCTCTGTCACTCCCAAAGGTAGAGCTTCTAAGAGATGCCTCTGGCCCTCCAGCAGGCAAGAGGTCCAGCTATACATAACAGATGGGGCCAGAATGAACAACCAACAGCAAGCAGAGGCTGAGACTCACATGCATATGAGGACAGCAGCCAGGATCTGACCACTCAAGACACAGGCAACCTTGCCCAGTACCAGCCCATAGGCCCAACACCTGAACATCCTCTACCCAGGCTAAACTCCAGAAAACCGGAGTGGGGAGAACTACTCTACCCTTACCCCCAGCTACAGGCCTAGGCATACAAATCCAAATAAAGTTCACACAGCTGGAAACAGCCCTAGCCTGTCAGGACAGAACCGCCCCCTCTTCCCTGCCTCCAGGCCTGGGAGGGGCCATCTCTTTCCCCAGTACAGCTGCAAGCTACCCCTGCAGGGGGGCCTTCCTCAGAGGAAGTTCTCAGGACCTTTGCAGTGGAGGGGAGGGGCAAAATCCTGATCCACTGGTGTCTTCAACAGACTTTCCCCAGCTTCCAACATGGTTTAACAGGGGTCCACTTCTGAACTTGAGTAGCTCCAGTAGGAAGTACAGGGACAGAGTCCTCTATAACTGCCCAGGTGATCAGGGCTAATGTGGTGACTGTCGTGGTAGCTCCTAGCCTAGCCTACCAAGGTTTCAGTGGCTAGGAGGTATAGGGGAATCTTTCCGTCTAGGCCCTAAGATAAACAGTTGACCAGGGTCCCACAGGAAGTAGCAAAAGGACTACGTTTTCCACCCCAGGCATAGGTCATAGAGTCTCTACCAAACAGGGATATAGGACCCTCCTGAACCTATGGTGAGTGTATCCTTTACCTCTCTCTAAATGGTTCCATCCTACCCTAACCTGTAGGAACTGGTGGACAGCCCCAGACCTGGGCTAGGGGGTGGGGGTGGGGGTGGGGGTGTGTCTGTCTGTGTCCTGATCTCCCAATTCTGCAATGTGGGTTCTAGGCCCACAGGAATGCTGTAAGGGATCAGAAAGGATGCAACTCTGTTCAGAACCCACTGGGAGAAACCCACATAGACAGAGGTGGTTTCAAAACAACTTTTTTTTTTCCTATTTCCAATTAGCACAGGAGTTGGGGGAGGGGGCATCTTCTCTGGGTGGGGATGGGACAGTGGGATGGGTCTGGAAAAAGCCAAGAGCAACTTTCATGAGTTCAGTCTTTCCTATTGCCTGCCTAAAGGGAAGACACCCCCATAGAACCAAAGGCATTCCTGCTTATCACCTACCTATCACCATCCATTGGTTAGAGCCAGCAAAACGCACCCCCCAAGGCTGCCTCAGTGAGCCCAAAGATGAGACAAGTCTACTCCTGCAGCCAACTTTTTACCAGAACTCAGAGGCCCCTCCCAACCAGGGCAAGCCCTTCTCCCAGGGAAAGGCAGCCTCTAGCTCCAGCAGCCTCCAGCCTGGACCTGCCTGGGGGAGGGGCCCTCAAAGGGCTCTGGGTGAGGCTGGAGAACCAAGAGTCAACAGAAGGAATGTGGGGGAGGTGAAGGGATAGAAGATGGCAAAGGGAGTCTCAGACCAGCCTGGAGGGCAGTCCTCCCACAGTCCAGAGATCCTCCCAGTATCTTAGGCAACCCTACACAGTTCCAGGAGCTAGGCTGAGGGGGTCAGGGTCCTCTCACCCACTGTCCTAGGACCTGGAGCTTCTCTACCTTGCTTTCTTGAAGGCCCTGGACTGCTGGCCTGATAGAAAGGAAGGACAGAACCCATCTGGCCAGACCAAGCCAGACCAGGGCAAGGAGTATAGCCTCTAAGACCCCAGCTTCAGAGCTAAGCAGGGCTAAGCTGGGTAGGTGCCAGGCTCACTCGACCCTGGCCCCCTGCCCTGTCCTTGTGCCAGGTCCTCACTGGGGCAGACAACACTTCCTTTCTCTGCTCTTGGCTCCTATTAGGGAGGGACAGGCCCCAGCCAGGCTTGTGTCTCTCCTGGGGGTTTCAGGGAGATGCCAGATCCAGCTTTCCCTAGAGATACACTGAGGACAGTGACAGACCTGTGCTCAGCACCCAGACCGGCAGTGAAGAGGATCCACCCCTTCACCTCTTCCCTGACAAAGCTTTGTCAGGGCTGTGGGGGTCCCCTTCTGGAAGGAGTAGCAGCTTCCCCTGCCCAAAGGTGGCGCAGAGGGAAGGGCACATACCTGTCCCTGTTATGCCAGGAATGTGGCTCCCCAGGCTGAGGATCAGAGGAGGAGCCTTCCCCAGGGGTGGGGGAGGGTCTGGCTGTCGTGTACACCTGGAGTGCACAAGAGATCAGAAATGACCCAGACTTCACCTAGTTCCCTCTGTGGGTGGGGCTGGTATGGGGCCCCTATAGGCAAAATGGGGACAGAGTCAGATTGGAGGGGTGGGACTGCTTCAGGGTAAGGATCTGGGAATGGGGTTCAATGGACCTAGTTTTGGAGGGATGGGTAAAAGGAGATCCCATTTTCATCCAGGACCCCTAAGTTATTGACTGTCTCCTTGATACTCTGACCTTGCTTTAGCACCCAAACAAATCCAAGCCATCATCTGAAGCCTTTTACAGTAGTGTCCAGGCTCCTCACCCTGCCCTGCCCCCCTGCCCCCCACACCATAAGGTTTCTCCTTAGCTCCCTGGCTCCACCTGTGAGTCCCTAGTCCTGTCCCCACTACTCCCTCCTCCCTGGCCAGCTGCTCCAAAGCTCTCTACTGGAGGAATGCTGGTCTATGAGTCTTGGGTCCAAAGTATTCCTGTACTCCTAAGTGTCAGCCATATACAAGTGTACAGTAGGTTGTCATATCCACTGGAGGGGGGCCTTTCTTCCCATGATTCTCTGACTGTCTTGCTCCAAACTGGGCACTGCCAGCACCAAAACCAGAGTCTAGCATGGAATTTGAGCCTGGCTTTGGTGAGATGCTGAACCTTGTTGTGCCCAGAATAACATGATCTCTAACCTCAGGGGAAGTCCTCAGTTACCGAGTCATGGACCCTCAGGCTAGACTCATGCAGATATTAATGATTCACCCTCTTAATGTTGCAGAGACAAAGGACTGTGGCCCCTCCTCAGTCCCCTACTCAATCCAAAGTGGACATACCTACCCTACCACAAGCTTTCACAAACAACAGGGCTAGAATTTTTGGTTCTTGTCCAGACTGAGTCCCTATAGCAAGCCTGGGCTGAACGGGGTCCAAACCTAAGGGGACCTGGAAGCAGGTTCCCTAAGGAGACATGGGGGGCAGGGTCCCAGAAACACTCCTGAAGTCCTGAAGAGCCAAGTCAGCATCAAAGCAGAAAAGCGAGGCGACAAGACTTCCCAGGAAGCCAGTCGAGCACATCAGAAGACAGGAAGTCACGACCCTTGCCACTGCCCTCAGAAGGAAGTTTCTTTCTCCAACCCTACATCACTTTCCAGTCATGCAGAAACAGACAGGATGTGGGGGCAACAAAAAGAAAGCGTTTTCCACCACCTTTACCCCCAAGGGTCTCAGTCCCCAACTGGGGCTGTGACCAGGGATAGGGGAAGACTTAGCTGGTCATGATTCTGGTCACTTTCTAGAAGCTGGGAGTCTGGTCATACAGTACTGCTCCTCTACAAACTGTGGGCCTCTAGAACACACGGGGTAGCCCCCACCCTCCAATGCCTGTGCCCAGGCACAGGGGTTTATGGGTCCAATCTAGACATATGTTTTGAGATGTCTGCAGGAGTATGACAGCTGGTGCCTATTCACCTGGTTCCAGCTTCTTCCTTAGAAAAGGACCCTCCAGGTGGGAGAGTGTGGAGTGCTGAGGAGGGAGAGAAAGCAGAGGAACCAATCCCTTTGCAGGGCAGTAGCTTGCTTATGGCTTTAAGACCAAGGATCATAAAATGTCAGGACTTGGGGTGCATGCCATGTGTGACTAGGGCTGCAGAGCCAAGAGGCCAGGGATCAGGAATGTAGCACCACAGGCAGGTTGCAGGACAGCACACTCTCCTGTTCATGCTCTCATCTGTACCCTATCTTTAGCACCCATGTATTTCTTGTCACCATCTGCAAGTCACTGATCCCCTAAAGGAACACCTTACCACGCACCTTCTACACAGAACTCCACCTCTTCCAGGTTCCGCAAAGTGATCCGCATGAGGCTGGAGTTGAGCATCAGCTCATTCTTGTGGGCAGGCCATAAGTAGGGTGGTGCTGGGTTCACAAAAAAGATCCTAGTATCTCCAGTGGACACCTGGTTGTCACAGATGAGGGGGTCTCCGAAGCCACCAATCACCACTTTGTTGCCACCATCCAGCAGGCTCTCCTGGGCCACCACGTCTTTGCCTTTCAAGTACCGCCACACTCGAACCTGAGTGGATATGGAGGCGGGTGCATTGGTCGTCTTCCTACGGGGAAAGGGTGCCAGACTGGACATCTGGGCCCTTCCCCCTCTTCTGGCATCACTTGTTCAAGCCAAATGTTCAGTGGACTCCAGCCCTGGGCAGAGATGTACAAAGATCTCTGAGTCAGCCTCTCAGCAAAGGCTGCAAGGTAGTACACATATCCTGAATGCCATTGTTCCAACATGTCATACAAGAGGACATACCACACAACCTAACTATGTTCTGGGAAGCAGCTCTCACCCCAGGTCTAACCAAGCCTAGTCAAGCAAACTACAAGAGTCCATCTCAGTCAGGGCTAGATTTGAAAGGGTGGTGCCTGGTCTGCAGTACCTGCCTTCACCTTTGGCTCACCACCACTCGGGACCAGCCACTATGGGTAAACCAGCTTCAGAATAAGGGCCAGCTGGGATTTTTACAGCCCTGCTTGGGGGCTGAGACCCCCCCCCCCAGGAAGTAAAAGCCCCTTTCTTTGCTCCACAGTCAGTGCCTGAGTCTGGGCAGACAAGGCAGCAATGAACCACAAAGTCAAGTTTGGGCAATGCAAGTCAGCCCCACCCTCCACCTTCTCCTTGGGGGCCCCGGAGGGCACCTCTTCTCACAGAGATGCCTGGAGAATGCAGCCTGCAACCCACACAGGACAAGTTCAGGAACCCAGGCACTCATCCTGGGAAGGGGCTCCTTCCTCAGGATCTCTGAGGGGTTGGGGCTCCTGAAATAGGGGACAGTGAAAAACAATGCAAGGCTTGTCCACCTGCCTAGTCTCTTCCCGGAACCTCAAGACTGCAGCATCTGCAGGGACTCCCCCAACCCCCCCCACCCCCCAGTGGCAGGCAGAACCTCATCTACCGGTCTCTTCACCCCCTCCGCCAATCACACACAGTAAACTGTGGTGGGAGATAACCTAAATAGGGGGAAGGCAGCCTTCACACCTCCCCCACCCCAGCCACACCCAGGAGCCGCCGGGAGGAAGTCGGGAAAATCCTGCAGGGACTTGGCAAAGTGCCCTGGCGGTGAGAGGAGGGGGCCCAGCGGGGGGATCTCAGCTGTAGCATGAACTGCTACTCTGAAAGAAGTCACCATCCTCCCCATCCCCACAGAGCAGAAACAATTTTATTTCTGGTGAAGTGGTCTGAGGGGCTACGAGAACCAGCACAGGGCGTCCTGGGCCCACCTTAGCAAATTGTAGGGGGAGCCCACCATTACCTATTCCAGGGTGCTCCCAGATCCAGCTGAAGTTGAAGCAAAGCAGGCTTCTCCACTCAAAGGCAGGGTAATCCCACTTCTCCCAGGAGCAGAACGGAGCACCTGCCCTCGCTCCCTGCGCATGGGAGACTCCACAGCCCTCTACCCACCTCTGTTCCGGTCCCCCTACCTACCCCCGAGTCACTGAAAAACCCCTCGCTGGCTCCCTGGACTTGAGGACTATGCACCCCTTTTCACTCTGATGGTGGCCTCAGCACAGTTGAGTCCCAGTTCCCACCACAGGCAGTCACCTCCCTGATCCCTATTCTTTTCCTTGGGCGAGGATGTACACGTTTCCAACAAGGGAGAGAGGCTTTGGACAAGGGGTGGGAGACAGCCACCACTGCAACTGCGGCCTGAGCACTGTGGGCGGAACCACAGCAGCCCCGCAGGAACTTTCACTCCGAGCTGCAGAGTTTTCCGGGACCTGGCGCCCTACCCGGCGGCTTGGCGGTCGCCAAGGAAGCACGAGCTGGGGCTGCAGAGCAGTTCTAGGCTCGTTCCCACGGCCTGGGGCAGGGGTCCCAGCAGGGCGGCCGGCACGCGAGGGGCGGGACTCGGGGCTGGGAGCCGCGGGGGAAGAGGCCCCGGCTGGGATTCCGGGGCGTTGAGATCTCGGGGGTTCTATTGGGGCCCACCTTGCACGAGTACGTGTGCTGCACCGGGTCCACGTTGAGGATCTCCTCCACCGTGCCGGTAAGCACCACATTCGCCTCCTCCTCCCGCCGCTCCAGGGCGCGCTCCGGGCACGTCCCGCCGGCGCTGGGCAGGGTGCTTGCGGCCACCACCAAGAGCAACAGCAGCGGCTGCAGCGGGGCCGGGCAGCACAGCCACAGGCTGGCCATGGCGCAGCCGAGGACGGCGGAAGGCTGCCGGTGAGCCTGGCCGCGCAGGGGGCAGAAGTGGAGCCGACCCGCCGCAGCTTCGCAGAGGCGGTGGGAGGGAGGGCATGCGGCGCGGGGGGCGGGGAGGGGGCGGGACCTGGGCAGCACCGCCCCCTCCCCTGGGGCCCGGCACGCCCCCTCCCGGAGACCCGCGCTGTCCGTGAGCCAAGCTCTGGGACAGCGGCGCCGGGCGGGGGCGGGGGGAGGGCGGCGGGGGAGCCGGGCCGCGGAGGGGGCAGAAGGGGAGCCGCCCCGCCGCAGCTTCGCAGAGGCGGTGGGAGGGAGGGCATGCGGCGCGGGGGGCGGGGAGGGGGCGGGACCTGGGCAGCACCGCCCCCTCCCCTGGGGCCCGGCCCGCCCCCTCCCGGAGACCCGCGCTGTCCGTGAACAAAGCTCTGGGACAGCGGCGCCGGGCGGAGGCGGGGTGGGTGGCGGGCCGCCGTGGGGGAGGGGAAGGCGGGGCGCGCTCTGCGAGACACTCTGCGGACGCCCCTCCTCCGTCCGCTTGAACCTTCCTCCCACCAGGAAATGCGGCTGAAATCAGGTTAATGTATAATCGAGAAGCGACGTGACGGAACTTCCAAGTGGCTCGCGGCGGCGCCGGGAGCGATGGGGCGCCCTGAACTGAGAGGATGCGGGGCGGGAGCTCAGATCCACCGCCCCTTGCGTCTGCCTCCCGCCCTGCTGCCCACCGAGCTCGGTACCCCCGGACCTCTGGAGGCTCCGAGGCGGCCCAGTAGGGCTACGCCCCCTGCCGGTGGCCTGTGCGCGGTGACTGGTCTGAAAGGCGCCCAGACCGGCCTGGCCGCGTGGGGCAGCGGGACGCCCCCTGCCGTGCAACTGCTGTGTTCTGTCCCGCTGGGGAGCCTTCCACGCCCCCCTCCCTCTGGGATCCAGCGCTTCTCCATCTTAACTTGGCTAGTTACAAGGTATGAACTGAGTCCCAGGGGAACCAAGCCTGGACTACGGAAGACTGAAGGAAAGAGAGAACACACTATTCTGTCTTCCCGGGACTGGATCTGCGGTGCACAGGCCATAGGCCTTTGAGCCAGAAGCTAGAGTGAAAGGTGGGTGGCAGAAGCTCCCCCCAGAGGAGGACCCCACCACCCCGACCCCGGCGGGCTTCAGGAAAAGGGATCCCAAAAGAAGGTTTGTGGTCACATCTACACAGTAGACATTGGCATTGCCAGACCTGAGGTCGCCTGACCCAGATATGTGGTGTGCATCCAACACACCAGAAGTGGGGGTTCTGAGTCTCCAGTGAGATATTCTTAAGAGTCCTGAACGTTGGGATCTGAGGCCCTCCACCGCAGAGGTGCTTGTCCTGACTTGCTTATATCCTAGGCTGCCTCAAAGCCCAAGTAAGTAGTTATAGGAGGAAAAGACAAGAGAAGGAAGCATCAGGCAAGAAGGGGGCGAAGTTTTTCCAAATTAGGTGCCTCCCGTCTTGGATATGCTCTGCTTTGCATACCTTTGTCCGAAGGTGAGCCCCCAATTCTAGGTCCCCGTAACCTGCCAACCATGGCCTCTTCTTGGCCGGAATGGGGGATATAACTTTCTGGCCACTCATATCCTAAACAGCAGTCGGCTCATGTGAGTGACCAGGCCCTGTTTCACAACCTCTTTGGACCAGTGCAGGTGGGACAGGGGATACCCACAGGGATATGCACCAGCTTCCCTCACAGCCTACCCAGGCAGTTCCACAGACTCTGTGTTTCTAGGGGATCTGGGGAGCAACTGGTCCCATTAGGAGCCTTTTCCTATGGACTGTAGAGTCAGATGGACAGGTGGGGGGCAGTTGTTTAGGAGCTGGTTGAGGCTCAATCTGGCTAGGAGGGGTCCCAGTAAGTGTCTTCTTTATCTAGAAGTGAATTCTCAAAAGACTTCACAAGGGGAAGTTCTTATTAGACTTTTTGCTATGAAACCCTGTCCTTTAATTTGGTAATCCAGAGCTTTGTTATCAGGGATCTGCCTGGGTTTTTTTCACCTGACTTCTGCAGAGGTGCAGAGGGGAAGGCAAACAGATGGTCATTTCTGAAGGAGGATGGGCAAACAGGAGGCAGAACTTCTCATTGCCATCATCTTTTATTAACAGCATTGGATCTGTCCCCTGCTACCTCCCCGCAGGCGCAAATTCATGAACACAGTGCACTGCGGCTTGAGGCCATATTCTCCCAGTGGTTGGTGGTCCTCCATGGGCCTTCCCTCAAAGCTCAGCCAGAACTGGTCTTCCTGTATTTGCTCGTGCTGGCACACCTGCCTCTTGAGCTCTGACACGGTCTGCGTTAGCCTGACCTCATAGATGCTACTGCGGCCCTTGTCGTTCTTCACCAGGATACTCAGAGGGTTGTTATAGTTCTGCACTATCAGCATGACTGTGCTGCCAGGGCCCAGGCCCTGGCTGATGAGGGTAATGCTGTCCCGTAGCACCTCACCACTTAGGCATACCAGGCGCTGCTGGAAAGCTGGCACACCAGTCTTCTGGGCAATCTGCCTCTTCAGTTCTGACACCATCATGGAGTTACTCAGGGGCACCAGGAACTCCTCACCCCCCAGCATCTTCACCTTTAGGTCCTGGCCCTGTAGGTATTATCATGGGCTTAGATGAGACTCCTCTGGCACCAGTCCTGGGGGGCTGCTACATGCAAAGCACTTAGCAACAGAGCTAACTCCTATAACTGCTACTGCCCACTTCTCTATCAGAGGGGACCATCCAAGTATGTAGATGGTACAGAAGAGTCCATTTTAAAAGGCCAGCCTCCCACAACCATCACATTCAGTTCACCCACCGAAATTTCCTTCTGGGCCCATCCCCAAGCGATTTAGGACTGGTAGCTGAGCAGACAAGGAGCCCAGTCCCTTCTTTGTACTGAGCTCTGAGCAGTTGTGTACTTTTTTTTGGGAGGGGGGGTCTTTTTGAGACAGGGTCTCTCGGAAGCCCCAACTGTTGTGGAACTCACTATGTAGACCAGGCTGGACTTGAACTCCCAGAGATCCGCCTGCCTCTGCCTCCTGAGTGCTGGGATCAAAGGCGAGCGCCACTGTGCCTGGCTAGCAGCTGTGTACTTTTTCCACAGAGTAACTGTTCTGCCTCTGGGAGACCTTATCAAAGAAGGCGGGGGTGGGGGTGGGGGTGGAGGGGTCAACTAGAATAGATCCACCTGCTTCTGCCCCAAATTGGTCTTACCATGTCTGTGGGCTTTAGCTGTAGGTCCTCTGCAGCCAGTGAGGAATTTCTGTGTCTTAGCTTCCAGCTGCTCTCACACCAAGAGACTGGGCTCAGCCCTTTTAAATGTGTAAGCTGTGTGTGTCATGGGGCGGGGCCTCCTGCATGCCTGCACAGTTTGGGCTGCCGTCTGTTTCAGTTTCCTTTTCCCCAAGGCTTGCCTTGGAGTGAGAAAACCAAAACAATATAAGAAACTTGCCTGAAAGTACTCTCATGGGTCAAGGTTCAACCAGGGCTGTGTTCAGAAACCCCCTAAATATCCCAATATTTCAGGTCCTTTATAAGGTATGCAGAAGTCATAACAAAAATTGATATTTGGAAATTTAATTTTCATTTCCAGTTTGAAAATTAAGTTATCTTGGATGCCGGGGTTGGTGGCACACGCCTTTAATCCCAGCACTTGGGAGGCAGAGGCAGGCAGATCTCTGTGAGTTCAAGGCCAGCCTGGTCTACATAGTGAGATCCAGGACAGCTGGGGCTACAGGGAGACCCTGTCTCAAAAAGACCAAAAAAAAAGAAAATTAGTTATCTTGGAAAATGTTGTGAACAAAAGTTCCCAGGAATAAAAAAAAAAGAGCCCTGTATCTTCACCTGAATCTCCTGCAAGTTGGCTAACTGACTAGCACTTTAATGATTGTAGAGAGTATGGAATGCTGCAGGTCCAGAATTTTTTGTTGTTGTTTTGAGACATTGTCTGGCTGTAGCCCCAGTTGGCCTGGAACTCACTATGTAGACCGGGGTGGGCTCTGTCTTACAGAGATTCACCTGCCTCTTCCTCTCAAGTGCTGGGATTAAAGGTGTGTGCCACCACACCCTGACTAGAGCCTTAAAACATTTATTTATTTATTTATTTATTTATTTATTTTTAATTTTATTATTAATTTTTATTTTATGTGTATGAGTGTGTTGCCTGCATGTATGTGAGTGCACCTGTGTCGTGCTATGCTGCGGAAGTCAGAAGAGGGCTTTGGATTCTCCTGGAACTGGAGTTAAGGATGGTTTGTAGCCGCCACATGGATTCTGGGACTCGAGCCCAGGTCCTCTGCAAGAGCAGTTAGTGCTCTTAACCGCTGAGCCATCTCTTCAACCCCTATTTAGTTATTTTTATTTTATGTGTATGATTGTGTTTTGTGTGCATGTATATAAATAAATGCATCACGTGCAATGCCTGCGGAGGCCAGAAGAGGGTATTAGATCCCCTGGAAGTAGAGTTGTTAGCTACCAAATGAGTGCTGAGAACCGAATCTGAGTCCTCTGCAGGAGCAGCCAGGGATCTTAACTGCTGAGCCATCTCTCCAGCCCCAGTCTGGAGCCTATTCACAACTTATCTTGGGTAATCTTTAGTTCCCTAAACAGACATTCTTTGCCCACTTCTGTGTCAAACTGGACATCCTGTGACTAACAGGATAAAACCTTTTGAGGTCTATTAATGTAGCAGGCCACTAGCTTTCACCAACCCAAAGGCTCAGAATGCTGTTAAACAAACATCTCAGACTTACAGCAAAATTCTACCTGCTTTTCTGTAACCTGCTTCTCTGATGTCCATCAGTGTATTTGAAAAGTATCTTAATTATTGCTTTCTTTATGTTGTTACTATAAAAAGTTCATGAAGCTGTTACCATGGTGAAGCATGGAATTTGGGGTGACCTAAATCTGTGTTTCTGGGCTCCCGAATAAACTACTTCTTATCTAACCCTTTGAGGTGAGAATTGTGCTTTTGTGTAGGCAGTTATACTATGATTAATTCAGAAACTGTTTCAAGTAGTGGCAATCCAAACTGCCCAAAGACAACCATTATTGGCCGTTGAATTTAGGTCAATAGTTATGAATAGTTGTGTGTATATACTGAGAGAGATAGAGATAGAGATAGAAACACATGCATACAGACACAGACAGAGACACACACACACACACACACACACACCCACACACACACGAGAGAGAGAGAGAGAGAGAGAGAGAGAGAGAGAGAGAGAGATTATAGGAAGCATCTTTTACCCTAGTTTATTAAGACTTCTTTGCTTATACAGAGATATTGATTGAGTCAGATGGGTTTTTGTCTTTTGTTTTTTGAGACAGTCTTGCTATGTAGTCCAAGCTAGTACAAACTTATTATGTAGCTAAAACTGGCTTTGGAATTCCTGATCTTCCTGCTTCCACCCACCAAGTTCTGGTATTATAGGCATGTTACCACCATGCGAATCAAAACACATAAGACACTATTTGACACTGTATAACAATAATAAGAGCAATAAGGAATATTGACAGAGACCTGGAAAAATTGGAATCCTGTTGCACTGCTGTCAGGTATGTAAAATAGTGCAGACACTATGGAAAATAGTCCAATCAAATTATCCTATGATCCAGCAAATCCAGCAATTCCACTCCTGGCTATGTGATGAAAATAACTGAAAAAGTGTTCAGTTACTTACTTGGAGGACTGGATGTGGTGATGTAGGCCTATAATCCCCTCACCCTGGAGAGAAAGAGAAGCAGAAGGATCATAGCAAGTTCAAGTCTATTCTGTTCTACATAGTGAGTTCTAGGCCAGGCCAGAACTAAAGAGACTCTGTCTCAAAAAAAAAGGGGCAGGGGGGTGAGGCTGGAGAGATGAGGCAGTTAAGACTGCTCTTCTTCCAGAGGACCCAAGTTCAGTTCCTAGCACCCACATCAGGCAGCCGACAACTGCCTGAAATTCTAGCTTCAGGGAACCTAATGCCCTCTTCTAGCCTCCACAGGCACTTGTGCACTATAGCGTGTACACACACACACACACACACACACACACACACATACTTCATAGCAGTACAATTTATTACAGACAAATGGTAGAAACATCTCAAAGTTCCATCAAATCAATGGACGGTTATACATACAAACTGTGGTATATCCATACAGTGGAATACTGCTTAGCCACATAAGAAATGAAGTACTGGGGGTGCTGGAGAGATGGCTCAGTGGTTAAGAGCACTGGCTGCTCTTGCAAAGGACCTGGGGTTCAATTCCCAGCACCCACATGGTAGCTAACAACTGTCCTTAACTCCAGTTCCAGGGGATCTGATGCCCTTTTCTCATTGCACAACCTAGGTGTGCTTACATACATGCAGGCAATACACTCATATACATAAAATAAAAATAATAAGAATAAGCTGGGTGTGGTTGTGTACAGCTTTAATCCCAGCACTGGGGAGGCAGAGGCAGGCAGATCTCTGTGAGTTCAAGGCCAGCCTGGTGTACATAGAGAATTCCAGGCCAGCTGGTGCTACAGAGTGCTAGGATTAAAGGCCTGTGCCACCACACCTGAGTTTTTGTTTTTGTTTTTGTCTTTGTTTTTAATTGGCAACCTGATGAAAAAAGCTGCTTTCATTTTTTTTTAATTAAAAAATTTATTTTTATTTTATGTATGTGAATGTATTGCTTGCATGTAAGTGCACTTGTGTTGTACAAAGCCCACAAAGGCCGGAAGAGGCCATTGAATTCCCTGGAACTGGAGTTATGGATCGTTGTTAGCTGCCACGTGGGTTCTGGGAGTCAAACCTGTGTCTTCTGGAAGAGCAGCCAAGTGCTCTTAAGCTCTTAACTGCTGTGAGCCATTTCTCCAGCCCCTCATGTTTATTTTTAAAAAAACAAAATCACAACAGGCATGGTGGTGCACACCTTTAATCCCAGCATTTGGGAGGCAGAGGCAGGCGGATCCCTGAGTTCCAGGCCAGCCTGGTCTACATAGTGAGTTCCAGGACAGCTGGGGCTACAGGGAGACCCTGTCTCAAAAAGACAAAAACAAAACAAAATCAATTGCTTCTCGGCTTTTTGGCTAAGATCAAGTGTAGTATCTGTTCTTATCAGTTTAATATCTGATACCCTGTGTATATCTTAAAGCTAATTCAGTATCCCAAAACATCATCATCTACTTCTGTCCTAAGAGTTCTTTCTTTCAAAACATTGTATTTTTGACTTAGTTATTGATTGAAATGGAAACAAAAAAAATTTTTAATCTCAATTTTTTTTTTTTTTTTTGTACAGTGTCTCCTACAGCCTCCAGACTGGGTTTGAACTTAATACAGAGGATGAATGACCTTGAAGTTCTTATCCTGCTGGGATTACAGGCAAGCTCCACCATGCTTGGTCTGTGTGGTGCTGGAGATCAAAGTCAGGGCTTTAGGGAAGCTAGGCATGCACTCTACCAGCCCTCAAATATTTGCTAGTATGAAAAGCATATAGCAGGCAAAGTTAGCCAAAACTACTGAATAAATATAATAGTCAAGTAAAATTTAAATGCATTATTAATTTTTTTCAGTGCTGGGTATTGAACTGAGGTCTCTTATGCTATGTAACTACCACTAAATTACATGCTGAACCCTTTTTAAATTTTTTAAAAAGTTATTTGCATGCACCAGGTATGGTAGCTCAACCTTTAATCCTAGTACTCCAGAGGTAGAGGCAGAAGCAGGCAGATCTCTGTAAGATTGAGGCCAGCCTGGTCTACATATCGAGTTCCAGGCCAGCTGGGGCTACAAGGAGACCCTGTCTCAAAATTTAAGAACATTTATTTGCGCATGTGTATGCACATGTGTATGTGTGCATGAGGAAGCCAGAGGTTGGTGTTAGGTGTCTTCCTCAGTTGCTTTCCATGTTACATTTTGAAACAGATATAGGGTTTCTCAGTGAACCTGGAGCTCACTTGATTAAGCTAAACTGGCTGGACACAGTCTCTCTCTCTCTCTCTCTCTCTCTCTCTCTCTCTCTCTCTTATCTTCTACAAGTGTGTGTGCCATGGTGCACCCATGGAGGTCAGAGGACAGCTTACAAGAGTTGGTTCTCTCCTTCCACCATGTGGATTCCAGAGATTGAACTCAGGTTGTCAACCTTGGCCGGAAGCACCTTTACCCACTGAGCCATCTTATTGGCCCACAGCTGGCTTTTTTATGCGGGGAAAATTAGAAAATTGAATCCAGGTTAAACACTTAACCAGTTGAGCCATCTCCCCAGCCCTAAATTTTTTATTTTGAGACAAAGTCTTAGTAAACTACCTAGTCTGGCCTTGAATTTGCAATTTCCTTACTTCAGCC